GATGCGTCGTGATTGAACGCGACGACGGACGCTTGGGCTGTCTCGGGCGAGAGGTCAAACCCCTTGATGAGCTCTAGGGTGAAGTTTTGAATGAGAGGAAGCTTGTCGCCTATCGAGCTCGAGCGGTCGATGACGAAGGTGATGTCGCCAAAGTACTTGCAGTCGCTGTTCGAAGCGGAGCCGTAAGACGCGAGGGCGGTCAGCGTGGACAGCCGCAGGCGCATGCGCGCTAGGAAGCCTGACGGAGGCCCGGCCCGGCCCTGGCGCCGTCGTGGGCCTTTGGTTAGCCGGCGGCTCACAAAATGAGCGCGATTTTAGCAAGCTCTAGGAACCGATTTCTTTCTCTTTTTCTACGCGCGAGCCCCGTTTCTTTCTCCTCGGTCGTGAGAGAGAGGGTTTGGTTGTAAAATTCTTCTCCTTCTAATTTAGATGGGTGACCTCCTGCGCCACGCAGAAAAGAAATACAGACCCGGTTTTGCGATTTCTTTCTCCTTCTAAGTTAGATTGGTGGCCCCTTCCTGCGCTACTCGAGTAATAGCGCAGTGGTTATTTCTCTCCCTTCTTCCTTCTCGGGACCGAGAGGACATTCGTCCTTTCACTGGCACCCCACCCACCAGTAGCACCACAAAAGCATCCCTCTAACCGACATCCGGCTCTGCGTCCGCCTCCTGCCGATGCCGAGCGACATGTCTGAGGATTTCGGTCGCCGTGAAGAGGAACTCCTTCTCGCAGAGGTCGCAAGCGTAGCGAGTCCGCGCATTCGCGCCCTCCGCCTCCTCTGGGAGCTGGCCGGGCCCAGATGCGTCGGCAGCCCCCTCGGCCTCCCTATCGGCCGCCCCTTCGTCGGCCGCCCCTCCTTCGTCGGCCGCCCTCGCGGCAGCCGCCTCGCGGCAAGCCTCGGACGCCTGGTGGGCGCGCAGCTCCGCGAGCGAGACGATGAGGGCGGCGCCGCATTGGCTGCAGCGCGTGTGCCGCTTCATGTGCGCGCTATACCCCGCCGAGTCGGCTGCCTCGGCGCGCGCCGACGCCCAGCAGAACCAAGGCGTGAGGAGGGCCCCGCCCTTGCACGCGTCGAAAGAAGCGCCGAGCGAGCGTCCCGCGGCGATCTCCTCTTGCAAGGCGTCCGCCGCGCGCTGCTGCACGTCCGCCTCGCTCTCTCGCCCCCCTGCCGCGCCGCCCCCCCGTGCCGGCGGGCGCAAGACGAAGAGCGAGGCGAGCTGCGAGCGCG